TATCATCTTCAGTTTTTTTATATCGTCTTCATCGTTACCACCATCATCACCATCACCATCATCATCATCATCATCATCATCATCATGGTTGTCTTAATCTTTCTCATCATCGTCGTCGTCTTATACACTATCAAGATTGTCATCAGAATTTGTTATTAAGTTTGTCATCATCATCCCCATCATCATCATCATCATCATCAACATCATCATCATCATCAATGACGACCGTCTGGGTGGTCGTCATTGTTGTCATCAGCAACAACATTATCATCATCATCAGCAGCAGCAACATCATCATCAGCAACAACATTATCATCATCATCATCAACATTATCATCATAATCATCATCAGCAACATCATCATCATCATCAAGGCCACCGTCATCGTCACGAATATCGACAGCAAACAGAGGACAGAGAGTTGTTATTGTTCTGTGTTCTGTTCACTCGTGTTTGCGCGGTCGTCAATAAACGCGCATGTCTGTGTGTGTGTACGTGTGCGTGTGTGTACGTGTGCGTGTGTGTGTGCATGTACGTACGTTCACTCGTGCATCTAATTAAATATTTACGTGTGTTTAATGTGCCTTATATGTGCAACGAGATATAATCCCATGTCACATACAATACTGATTGCGAATTTTTGTGTAATTAAGTATTTGTAGATTTGTTGATTGAAGTACACTTATTTTCCCGCTCTTGTTTTTGAAGTGTGTGCGTGTGTGAATATGGAAACGTGCGTGTGTATGTGAAAATGCGCGTGTGTACGTGGTTAGACCTTCACCTTCATACAGGTTCGTGTGTTTTGTTCTATCAAATATTTAAACATGCGATGAATCGATAATATGGGGCAGCAGCATACACACGCACACAAAAAACACAGACGACAACATTCACGCACGCGCGAACACGAAAACCTAGGCACGTAAATGAATCACACACACACACACACACACACACATACACACACACACACACACAGACCCACTTGCGTTATATACTTGTTTGCAGTGCACACGTACATACACACACACGCACAAACACTCACACATAGGCACTTGTGTGTGTTTGTGTGTGTTTGTGTGTGTGTTTGTGTGTGTGTTTGTGTGTGTTTGTGTGTGTGTTTGTGTGTGTGTTTGTGTGTGTATGTGTGTGTGTGTGTTTGTGTGTGTGTGTTTGTGTGTGTGTGTGTGTGTGTGTGAGTGAGTGAAGTTGGCAGGACGCCCCATAACATAACAATGGCTCGAAACGAACAAGCAATAAAAACAACAACAATAACAAACGACAAAAATGATAACAACAACAATATCAACAACAATAATAATCACTACAGGTAAAACCCTACAGGTGTGTTTGTAGGTGCATGCGTGAGTGCGTGTGTGTGTGCTGCTTGTCAGCGATGGGTTTCTTTGAATGTTTGCATATTTTTGTACTTTATTTTGCTCTTTACTTCTTTTCAAACTGATATTATTTTTTTGAAATTGTTTAATAAAATAAAAAATCATATTGACCTCTTAAAATAATACTTTACGTGCGTCATGCCCTTACCTTTCCAAAAACACCACATCTTAAAAAATGTTCGCTAGAAGTTCACGCTGTATTTAGTGAAATAATTTCTACAGAACTTTTGGCAAACATCAACCAAATTTTCTTTAAGATACAATTCAGCTTAGTGAATTATATTATTATTATTATAGCGTGTTAATGCAAAACTGAGATAGAGTTATACGCTTTGCGTTCAGCTTAAATAGCGCAAATATGGGCTTGGTGTTGGAGTTTCAACATTCAAGTATAGCAAACAATTGGTGATTTTATGAATTTTAATCAAGTTTTATCGGGTTTTATTTGAAGTAACTTTAATAAACTACTATTAACTTTTATTAATTCAAAGTAAGTTGAAGTCGTGGTTCTATTTGCTTCTTTTTTTCTACTTTTTTTCATAAGCCAGAGTTTACCGTTGGACAATTTTTAATTTTTAAATTTTTTTCTGTAGAACCTTCAGGAAAACAAAGTGGAAAAACATGTTGCAATTTCATTTCGGCGTTTAAACTAAAGACCAGTTTTTATTAATTTTGCCATTTTAATTCAGCAACAATTTGACGTAATTAAATTTTTTTGGAAGTTGAAGAGTTTCAATTTTTCAATTCATTTTCTTAAAAAACCAAACAACAGCGCGCTGCAACCAAACACGACGCAAACCTGACCAAAATATAAAATAAATAATTTTAATTCAAGTTTATTTTTAAATGAAAAGTGATTATTTTTTTCTTCTGAAATTCGCAAGGTAGGCCAAGATGGAGACAGACGATGGTACTGAGTATTTCTGCTCTGGTGCAACAGCCACTAAACTGAAGAGACTTCAAATTAGCAGTGGTAATTGTAATGGTGGCTACGGTGGTAATGGAACTGGCGGCATCAGAAACAATAGTGGTAGAAGAAGTATCAAATATACCGATAGCAGAAGTATTAGTTTTGTCGGTAGTAATGGCTTTTGCAGCCGAAAAACTAACGCTTCTGTCCGCTTTGCTACCACTCCTACCAGAAGTAACAAAACCAAAAAGCCATCTCTATCATGGTTTTCTTTGTCATCGTCGCCATCCCTAGCACAGTCACCACCATCATTATATACAGAAATCAAAAGCATCAAAACAACCGGCCCGATATACGACGAGGTGAATAATAAAATGTTGCACTCTCATGCCCTTTATCTCAACATCAAAAAAAGAAATTCAGCCGCGATGAAAATGCGAATCACGAAAAATTATTCAACAAAAGTTGATAAAACTCAACCTGAAGAGGCTGGTGAGGCTGGCCACACGACAAACGACAAACTTTACAATGGTAAGGTTCACTACACAATGGCTCACAACATCCTCAACGATATCATCAATAGAATGGATACAACAGGACCTCCAGATGTCGACACACAACCCAATAACTTTGGAAAAAAGAAATATAGTACAGATGATGAAAAGTATGAGAAAACGTCAGCTACACAGAACGCTGCTGGTGGTGACGACGGTAGCGTTACTTGCTTCGTCGACACTAACCACATCACCCTCAACGGCCACAACTACTTCTGTTACTACTACAACTACAAGGGCAGAAAAACCTGGAAGGATGATGATGATGATGATGCAATAGAAGATATCAACTACTCTGTTGTCATTTTGCAAGGCGATAATGATGACGACGACAATCCTTTTAATGATGATGATGACGACGACGACGATGATGATGATAACTGCATTATTTTTTCTCAAATTAAGAATGCTAATGATACTACTTCTGATACTAGTCGTCATGCTACTACTACTGCTGCTGCTACTACTACTACCAACAACAACAACAATAATAATAACAATAGTGATAGCAAGGGTAATGATGATGGTAATGATAATAATAGTAACAACAACAACAACAACAACAGAAATGACGATAATGATGATGGCAGTAACTATGAAAATAATAATAACAACAACAACAATAACAATAATAATAACAACAATAACAATAATAATGATAACTATGGTGGTGATGATGAGGATGGCGACGATCAGAATGAAGAAGATGACGACGAAGACGATAACGACAATGATGATGATGAAGACGATAACAATAATAATAATGCCAGCCGTCTCCAACAACAACCGCAACAACCACAACCGCAACAACCACAACCGCAACAACCACAACCGCAACAACCACAACCGCAACAACACTATCTGGCGATGGAAGCAAACCTGCAGCTGTTGGGAAGCTTTGAGGGAAGAAGTGATGAATACGGTGATGAAGCAGTAGGCGAACTGACAGACGAGCAAATAGAATTTGACAAAAAAGTTGAAGAACTGGTTCAGAAAATTAAACAACAGCCACAACTCCCACGTGAGCAGTTGATGAAAATCTCAATGGACGTGGATGAATTTATGCGCCTGTCCTACCGAGTAAAAGAACAACAACAACGCCTGAAACGACGACAACGAGCAGAACAAATAAATCAAGTATTACAGCAAATATTACAACCGATAATGCAGCAGCAGCAGCAACAACAACAGCAGCAACAACAACAACATCAACATCAACTACAGCAGCAACAACAGCATCAACTGCAGCAACAACAACAACATCAACTACAGCAGCAACAACAACAACATCAACTACAGCAGCACCAACAGCATCAACTGCAGCAACAACAACAACATCAACTACAGCAGCAACAACAACAACATCAACATCAACTACAGCAGCAACAACAGCATCAACTGCAGCAACAACAACAACATCAACTACAGCAGCAGCAACAACAACATCATCAACATCAACTACAGCAGCAACAACAGCAGCAGCAACAACATCATCAACATCAACAACAGTCAGAAGAAGCGCCCGTCGAAATGAAATATTATTACAGTCTAAGAAAACATTCACAACAGCAATTACCAAATTATCGACAGCAACATCATCATCATCAACAACAAAAGCAACAGTTGCAACAACATCAGCAACTGCAACAACATCAACAACAACATCAACAACATCAGCCAGAAGAACCGCCTTTCATAATGAAAAATTTTCATAAAAAAATAAAACATTCACAACATCAACAACAACAACATTATCAACAACAGCAACATTATCAACAACAACAACATTATCAACAACAACAACAACAGCCAGAAGAACAACCCTTCACAAAAGTTCATTATTACAAACGAAGAAAACATTCACAAGAGCAACAACAAAATTTCAACAACATCAACAGAACAACAAAT